AATGATATGACTGTTGATAAATTTGTTGAAAAAACATTTTCATGTGAATGTTCCTTTCATGGATTTATCATTGATTGTAGTACAAATAGCTAGATCATTGTTGTGAAATAATATAAATAAAACCAAACAAGATATTCTCATGCTTTCTTTTATTCAGAATAATGATACAGTATGCACATAATAGTAAGAGAAGTTAAATATTACATTTTCTAACACAGTTTGACCTCATCATATGTAGAAGATTTACAGAGAAAATCAGATAACTCTTGAATGAATTCATCTTTCTTAACTGTTCTCCAGAGATTCATGTTAGTAAAGTTATGTAAGTTTAATCTACTAGCTGTATATTGAAATACAGCTAGTATAATAGATTTATCAACTTGAAGCAGATCAGTCATTAAATATAACCAAATTTCTTCATCATGATCTAACATGGTGATCTTAACTGGGATCATCAATATCACATGCTTCGCAGTTCTCTTTTCTAAGCTTTTGTATGAGAGGAGAAATATGTTCAGCAAATACATCAAATAAAAGGTTTTCATTAATAATATTAGATACCGTTTTCGGTTCATCTTGTGTTATTTAATTTACAAATGAATCAACAAAACAGAACTGACATCTTTACAGTAATAAGACTTGGTAATTTTTTATTAACATTAGATTGGGTAGTAAATTGAATTGATACATTTCTTGGCACGTCACATATAACATGAATGATGCGTTTCCGATGATCCAGATAGAACTCCTGACAGGATTTAAACTGAATAGTTCTAGTCAATGATGGTGTCAGTCGTTTAAATTCTTGCCATTCATCTAAGGAAAATGCTCGTCCTTCTTTGGTGAAGTATAATGCACTCTTTCCATAATCCCTGTATTGACAAATATGTATCTTCACATTATCATTAAATGGAGAAATTGCTATACATGGGTCATTTCCAAGTAGATACGTGTGAGACTCTTCTAGTGGTTCATCTCTTCTGAAAAGGATTTATTAGGGATAATGTAACAAATAAATAAATCATATAACAGCCAAGAAAAGACATTACCTATGTATCATAATAAATATAGATTTAACTGAGAAAATATCACTCTCAACAAGTTATGTAGTAGCACATAAGCAACCAGAACTGACCTTTGAGCTGTCCTCACCAAATACATTAACTGTGCGCTAGTGTTTTGTCTGCAGTTTGGTGATATATAAGTAATCAAAAATAATGATGAAGTCCCCACCCTTGTATCTATAATAAAATTTATTATGATAATATACCTAAATTAGAAATTGAACAAAAACTGATTTTCATGAATTCCCTGTGAAAACCTTCTTGTATTTCTTGGAAAACAACATCTGATCTCAAGGACTTGCGTGTTTGGTGTTGATCTATCATCAACTTATAAACGAAATATGTTAGATTAGACAATGTGCGAGAAATAACACGATTTATAAGATTTAGCAGCGAAAACATCCTCCTTTCTTGGAAGAATATCCGCTGACGTCAAGGACTTGCATATCAATTACTGATATTAATTTGATTATTATCTACATATTAATCATCCAATTAATTAATTAACCTGTAATTAATAAACCATTAATTCGATATTACTTATTATTTTGCATATCATTTACATCTAATTAACTGATTAATTAATTAAACTTTAATTTATATCCAATTAATTAGATATTAATTATTAATTTGCATATAATTTGCATATGCATATTAATTACGTATGCCATCATACTTCCATCGCCATAGTGATATGCTAACTACGTATTTTACTGCATCCAAGGCCGAAAAGTAAGGCATCTAGATCACATTACAACAAAATAATAGTCATATAATAACAACAGAATGGCATTTGTATTGGTGTGGTAAGGTGGCCATGGTGGGCAGTCTTTCGGTGACTCACTCCCTATCATAGCCCAATAGTGTTTTGCACTATCAATACATACAGATTCGAAGCCGAAAGGTGTACAAAAACAATAAAGCTTATTGACAAAACAAAAAAACAGTACTACACAGAACAAGGGCAAGTGTCTTGTGGTGGATGTCAAACTGATAAGAAAGATGGTAAAACCTTTATTAAATATTCTAAACAGCTCCGTGTGTTCTCCCCTGTAAGTACATTAAAATACAATAAAACCCCTGAGTTAAATTAAGTTAAGAATTAATGTCAAAATTAAACTCAATAAATCTAGGCAAGGTCTATTAAGTCAAATGTTTTACTAAAATTAAACCCTTTCAAGTGTTCTTTCACAGGGGCAAACCTGACTTTGAATACAAAATATATTATCACTAACAAAGTCAGGTTTGTACAAGAGTATACTTCGTACACATTATTCTTGTCCACTGTGAATATAGCGCTAGGCGTGGTAGTCCCTGATTATTATCCAATTCACCAACAGAGAATACAGATTTTTACTTTTGGATTTCATCTGCTATCTTTCCTGGCAGAAACTCGGATAACTGCGAATCAGAGTTGAACTGTTTACTTGAACAACTCTATACTCAAAGTGGAGACTGAAAAATATTAATTTCATGAAAAATTACATCTTAACTAAGAGGTTATCAAACACATGGTGTAGTTAAGTATCTGCTCATTTGTTAATTTCCGGTATAAATTCTTTCCGAGGAACTTCAGCGATACAAGTCCTTTCTTAATTAAAACTAGTTTATTCTTTCTCGATACAACTTTGTAATACACAGAATTTCCACAGTCACTTTAAACTTAACAACCTTTATAACACACGATATAAATCACAGCAATTCACACACTTTACTTACTGTGCCTACTGTTCCCTTGACTCAATTATTTATCTCTTCAATCTATTTGCCCCCCTGGTTTTTCTCGCCAGGCTTATATATTAAAAAAGAG